TAGGGAAGCTGTATTTCATCATGCAGAAAACTAAAATGTGAAAATTGATGCCAAAATATAGGTGTGATGAGTATGGAAGTGACATGGAAAACATATGCCCTGTTTTATAGGTTTACAAAAGTCATGTCAAACAAACGATAACCTCACAAGCAAACGCCAAACAACCAGAAATGGGGATATTCAACTACAAACGCCAAGTATTTTGTGATTTAAGCAGGCAGGATGCTATAATGTGGGTAGAAACTGCTCTGGAAACTTAAGTCTTGGACAAAGTTCCAGAAGTAAATGGCATTAATGTCCCTCCATGAAAGGTTACAATCTCCTCTCACCCACATAGATTGAGGGCTTCCATTCCTTCCTCCCACAATGTTATTTAAAGATACTGACACTTCTTATTCCTTTCCACCTAACTCCTGAAACATCAAATCCCTCCCTCCCTCCCTTCCTTCCTTCCTTCCTTCCTTTCTTCCTTCCTTCCTTCCTCTTTCTTTCTTTCTTTCTTTCTTTCTTTCTTTCTTTCTTTCTTTCTTTCTTTCTTTCTTTCTTTCTTTCTTTCTTTCTTTCTTTCTTTCTTTCTTTCCTTTCTTTCTTTCTTTCTTGGTCCGGTCGTGGGGCCTGAACTCTGGGCCTGGGCGCTGTCCCTCAGCTCTTCAGCTCAAGGCTAGCGCTCTACCACTTGAGCCACAGCGCCACATCCGGCTTTTTTCTTTTTGCTTATGTGGTGCTGAGAAATCGAACCCAGGGCCTCATGCATGCAAGGCAAGCACTCTACCATTGAGCCACCTTCCCAGCCCCAAATCTCTCCATTTTTAAACTATAAGCATGCCCTGCCCTCCCCGAAGTCTGATTACATGGTTCTCATGTAAATTTTCAGGAGAGGTAGAGGAATTAGTGGAGGCCCTTCTGTACTAGCAACTATTTCTCACCAGGTACCAGAGCCCTCAGTTTTCTGGGAACAGGTGACCTGACAGTTCTGGTGAAAGAGCAACACAAGCCAATGTGGTAGTAAAGAGAAAGTGGGAAGTAGACACAGCTTGTGAGTGTGGCACGTAGAGATGCAGACTATGTAACCTTGATGCATGACCACACACCATCTACAGACTGAATCACCACTGCACTTCCCTTGGGAAACAGAAGGGCTTTGTGATGTAATCAGCGTGGCTTGATTCTGCCCTCTGTGAGGTGGACATGACAGGGTCCAGCACTCTCATTATTCATAAGGACCTTGAGCTCATAGACAGAGGAATGGCTGGTTTCTTTATGCTAATAAGATTTAGACCATGTTGAGTGCTTCATGTGTTCTGATAGATGTTGAATATCCCTTGTATTACTATGTCTTCTTCTTCATAATTATCCTAATTATATGGCAAATGAAAAGGAGTTACTATGGAGTGAGGCTTGAACCTAAAAAAAGCTGCTGCCCGGTAAGGAAATACTCTGACCACAACTGAACTAATTTAAGACTTTGTGTACTGGTATTGGGGCTTGAATTCAAGGCCTTGAATTCTTTTATTTTTCCAGTTTCCATTGTGCTTTATAACATTTTTTCCTTTGTTTTGGGGTTTTATGATTTTTTGTCGGTTGTGGGGCTTGAACTCAGGACCCGGGCACTGTCCCTAAGATTCTATGCTCAAGATAAGTACTCTGTGACTGAGCCACAGCTCAATTTCTAGTTTTTAGGTGGTTAGTGGAGGTAAGAGTCTCACAGCCTTTCCTCAATCTGAGGACTGAAGCTTCAAACCTCAGTCCTCAGATCTCAGCCTCTTGAGTAGCTAAGATTGCAGGCATGATACACTGGCACCCAGCACTTTTTATTTTATTGTTATAAAAGTGACATACAGAGGGGGTATGTTTCACAAAGGCCTTGAATTCTTGCTCATATTTTTAACTCATGACTTAAGTTTTAGTTCCAGTTAAAACTTTTTAGCAGAAGTATTTAGAAAAGAATGAAAGAAAGTAATTAGAAAAGTAAGACAAGCTTTCTCGGAACATTTATTTATCAAGTTGTCTTGGCAATGTAGACTAATTGAAAAGCCAAGAACCTCTCTCTTTGGCATGGGTTTAGAACTATATATCAAAACATCCTCACAGGATGTCAAAAACCCTCCCAAATGTGAGATTTTTCAGTTTTGTAAAGCTGTGTAAGCAATAGTCTTTGGGTTGTCAAAAACACTCTTCTGGGCTGGAAAGGTGGTTTCATGGTAGAGTGCTTGCCTAGTGTGCATGATGCCCTGGTTTTAATTCCTTGGTGCCACATAAACAGAAAAAGCCAGAAGTGGCACTCTGGCTCAAGTGGTAGAGTGCTAGTCTTAGGCAAAAGAAACTCAGGAACAGTGCCCAGGTCCTGAGTTCAAGCCCCAGGACTGGCAAAAACAAAAACAAACAAACAAAATCTTCCAAGCTGGGTGCTGGTGGCTCATGACTGTAATCCTAGCTACTCAGGAAACTAAGATCTGAGGATCATGGTTCAAAGCCAGCATAAGCAGGAAGGCCTGTGAGACCCTTATCTCCAGAGAAGTGGGAATGGCACTGTGGCTCAAAGTGGTAGAGCTCTAGCCTTGAGCAAAAGAGGGAAAGTGCTCAGGCCCTGAGTTCAAGCCCTACACCCAACAAACTACTTTAAAAAGCCAGAAGTAGCACTGTGGCTCAAGTAATAGAATGGTAGCCTTGAGTACAAAGAGGCTTGGACAGAACTCGGGCCCTGAGTTCAAGCCCCAGGACCAGGAAAACAACAAACAAATAAACAAGAATCTTATGAACTTTCCTTCCTGGGCTGATTTCAAACTATGATCCTCAGATCTCAACTTCTTGAGTTGCTAGGATTACAGCCATGAGCCACCAGCTCCCAGCAGATATTTCTTTCTGAGATATCCTTAGCTCCCTGCAGAACTTGTTATTAGAGTGGGGACAGGAGGAAAGAGAATAGAGAGTCTCAAAGTGAATCAAAGACATTCAAAGAAGAGAATGTTGGGGTATAAAAAAGATGGAGTACAGGGAATCCTCTTCAGATGCCTTTCCTGCTAGAGTTTCCCTACTTTCAGGGCTTTCCTTCACTTTCAAATAAACTTACTCTTTTTACCACCTTTTATTTAAAGGGTGGGTAAAGGCAAATAGAGTGTATAAATATGGGAAGGCACACAAAAAAAGGAAAGGGAGATGTTTATGATCTTTATCTTATTTTGGACACCAAAAATGTGAAATGGAGTTCCAGCCTCACATGCTAATACAATTTTCCTTCTTTTTAGCATCATCGAAAGGTCAGGCAAAGGGCTAGAGCATCAAGAGGTAAAGTTTCAATCTCTCTTCTGACTCCCTTTGGGAAGGCAGGCTTCCCATAGTTCTCTGTGACCTTTGGTGCCAGGATATGATATGTGTGCTGTAACCACTAAAGCTTCACAGCTCTGGATGGGAAATCAGAATGGTCAAAAATTGGAAATGTTCCAAGAATTGATGAACTTAGGTAGATGTTCTTAACTTTATCATTTACTAGTTTTATGACCCTGTGGAATTAATCTCTAGCCTTATCTAAAGATAGGTGTATTATTAAAAATCCTCATTCATAGGAAATTTAGAGGTTCCTCAAAAGACTAAACATAGAAATTCACTATGACCCAGCCATACCACTATTGACATCTACAAAGATCATGACAAGTCAAGATATGGCAAATATACTGGCATATCCATGTTCACTGCTGCACTATTCACTATAGCCAAGTTAAGGAAACAGCCCAGATGCCCTACAATAGATGAGTGGATCATTGAAATGTGGTACCTATACACAATCGAGTTTTACTCATTCATTAGAAAGAATAAAGTTATGTCACTTGCAGGGAAATGGATGGACCTAGAACAAACCTTGTTAAATGAGGTAAGCCAAGTTCAGAGAGACAAACAGTACTTTTTCTCTCATATGTGGAAACTAGATACAAAATATAACCAGACATAACCTAAACAGGACTTTAGGCATCCATACACAGTCAGACTAAAGGAGGATACCCGTAGGGGAGGAACCTGAAAATGAATGTTCAAAATACTATTTATCAAAACAAATTCCAGGAAATGGGAACATGGGGTTTTTTTTTGGTTATTGTTGTTGGTGTTCATTTGTTCTTTTGTTATTTTTCTTCATGCTCTTCAGTATACACGAGTTACCTATGTAACTGTGGGAAACTGACATAAAACAGTAAGCCCTTTGTACAACATCTTAATAATAACAAAAATTATATTAAAATCCTCACTCATGAAATTGGGTCAGGGACAGCATGTTGTAACTGGTATATACAAACATGCCTTAGAGCATTGGCTCTTACATTTTCAGTGTCCTCTCACTAAAGACCTAAATGTTTAGCTACTTATAGAATGTCCCTGAAATATTCCTATAATGCTGTGTCTTGTTCCTCAGCTAAGAGACTTATCCAAGAAGGTGAGACGCCATGGGAGCTGCTGTCTATCATGAAAAGGTGATTTGTTACCCTTTGCAGTTTCCCAACTCCCAGCCTGGTCCATGAAGAATTCTTGGTCTGGCATGGGGCAGGGATGAGGAGAGGGATAATGCCTGGGAAGAGACATACATGAAGGGAGTCTACGTGACTGGCTGAAAGGTTGCCCAGACAGCGTGAAGTTCAGGTGTCTCAGGAGGGAAAAGCCGGTCACCCAATTCTACTCTGTGCTAGGGTCACAATAGCTCTGCAATTCAGGATTCAACTAGTGTATCATTCACAAAAGAAACAGCCAAGGAGACAAATTATCCAGCCAAGAGAATGGATTCTGAATAAAGAAGTCATCAGGGTCACCTTCTCTTTACAGCTAGCTATGCTAGGGCAGAGTCCCAAGGCTGAACTTTTCTCACATTGGCTTCTGTGATCTGACTTCAGGGAGGTCACTTCCTGGGCCTTACACTTTCAGAGGACAGTCTGCCATCTTATTCTTAAGGTTTCTAGAGAATAGGACTAATTCTTAATATAATGGGTATAGTAGCATGAATATCCGCTACTTCTCAGAATGAGGAGCTCCTACAAGGAGCTCACTTTCCACAGTGTAGGCCTAGAGAACCTGTAGGACTGAGAATGGTGCAGTATCCCCAGCCACACTCTTCCAAGGAGGCAGAAGTCCTCTATTGTTAACAGTTGCCATGCTTCTCTTCCCAGCCAGGGCTGGCTTCCTCAAGAGAAAAGCGTGCGGAAGGTCCTGTGTGCAGATCCCCACTGCAAAATCTGCAATACTGCAGCTCTGGAGATTCGGAAGTTGTTAGAGGTTGACACCAGCCAATTCACCACAAGTGTGCCTTTTGAACAGAAGCTGAAACTTCATCCTCAGCACTCCAGAGATACTGAACTAAGATCTGTTACCCCAAGAGTAACAGAACCTTTTGCCGAGTCAACCAATGTAGTTGACATCCAAGAATACTGGAATGATCAACTCCTCCTACAGCAGGACATTCAATTGCCAGAGATGTCTCTGGATTCAGAGATGGTGGCTTCTTCAAGGCTTGAGGAAACTGCAGTTATATTGAATGAGCAGGAGACACAGACCACCCCTAACGGTGTCCAGGGAAATTGGGATCATGACTCTTTGAATTTGCAGGTCTCTTTTCCATGCCCAAATCTAGAGATCACATGCCTGACACATCCTGTGGTTATGCAAATTGTCCCCAGTGCTCATTTGCCTTTTGTCAAACCTGAAATCCTGAGGCTTCTTGAGCTACATGTTAAAAAATGGATGCATTTTCAGAGGTGGGGACTCCCCAGACGGGTGGAGCAGTCCCTAAGGCAACTTATGCCAAGTCCACCTATGTGTTACCAGCCCGAAACTAACCAACCAGAGTCTTTTATCTTGACTAATACTCCTCAGACATGCATACATAGATTTGGGACTATTTTCCATGAGGCATGGTGTCCCTTTATGGCTGACCAACACATCCAGATCTTTTGGGTTTCTGAATGGTCTATTACTGAACCAGTACAAAGGCACCACTGCCAACATATCCCAAATCCTATGGCAATAACCTTGCCCTCTCCTACTCTTGAAGTCTTAGAGGGTCTCTGTCCACTGTCTGGTGAACAGACTAATAGCTCAAGGAGCAATCTGCAGCAAAAACACTACCAGCTGTTCTGTGGTCTCCCTTCTCTGCACAGTGAGTCTCTGGTTGCCACTTTATTAGGCCCTCAAAGTCTCGCCAAGAATATCTCTTATCCATTCGTGAAGGATCTTCATCTCTTCAAGGAGTACTCCTACCCCCCCTTGCTGAGTCAGCCCTGCCTTGAGTCACCCCAGCCCTCTTCCTCACCTTGTCCAAAGGGAGAATCTCCAACTCAGCATCAAGAGCTTCCAATCACAGTCCCATTTCTGACTCTGGCCGAATGTAAAACCTTGGAATGGCACCTGCTGCAGAGGCAGCTCCAGCTTCAGTGGGGGCTGCCAGCTGCCTTCCATCGATCTCAGCATGCCCAGAGCCCCATGCAGTGTGAACTGTGTAACAAAGCCCGATCTCTCAAGATTCAGAAAACTTTACGGACTGAGAAGCTCTCAATCCTCACCAGAGAACTCATCTTCTTCCCAGAGCATGCCCGCAGGCTACTAGGATTCCACCTCCAGAAACACTTGATGCACCTTCGCTGGGGCCTGCCTGAGAAGATACAGAAGTCCATCCAGTTGCTTCTTTCCTCCACTGGCCAGCAGCCCCTGTCCTTGAGCAACAAAGCCCTACCCAACATGAGCATCTCCCAGCCTGGGGCCCCAGAGGCTAAAGGAGATGGTTGTCTCTTCTCCCCCATGATTTCACAAGTGTCTGTCCCCATGCCACATTTTTTTGTCCAAGCTCAGGCAATGTTGCAAAGCCACATTGATTCCAAATGTGGGCAGATTCACCAGGGCAAGGTCCCTGATCTTGTATATAGTTCCTGGGAATGCAGAATTCCTGGAGTGCTAGCAATGGCTCCCTTCGCTGACATGCTGCAAGGGCAGCTCCTGGAACTGCAGGCAGCAAGTGAACCTGATCTATATCACAAAGTGGTGCCCTGTGAGCCAATGGCCCTTGGCCAGCAGCCAGAGGCCTTACTAGGTAGTGTTATTGAACACCATAAGCTTCCCCAAGCCCAGTCTGAGGAGACCATTGAAAAGCAGGCCTTACCAAGTGCTGGCACGGAACACCAAGAACTGCTCCCAGCCCTGTCTGAGGAAACCATTGAGAAGCAGGCCTTACCAAATTCTGCCATCGAATACCACGAACTGCCCCAAGCCCCGTCTGAAGAAACCATTGAGGAACAGGCATTACCAGCTGTTGGCACAGAACACCATGAACTGCTCCAAGCCTTGGCAGAAGAAACCATTGAGAAGCAGGCCTTACCAAATGCTGCCATGGAACACCAAGACCTGCTCCCTGCTCTGTCTGAGGAAACCATTGAGAAGCAGGCCTTACCAAGTGCTGCCACCGAATTCCACGAACTGTCCCAAGCCCTGCCTGAAGAAACCACTGAGAAGGAAGCGTTACCAAGTGCTGCCACCAAACACCATGAACTGCCCCAAGCCCTGCCTGAAGAAACCACTGAGAAGCAAGCGTTACCAAGTGCTGCCACCAAACACCATGAACTGCCCCAAGCCCTGCCTGAAGAAACCATTGAGAAGCAGGCCTTACCAGGTGCTGCCACTGAACACCAAAAGCGTCCCCAAGCTCTATCTGATGAAACCATTGAGAAACTGGAGACAACTTTACGGCATAAGTATCTGGCCTTCCTGTCAGGCCTCCCTGCTCTTTACTATGTGGCTCTCTCTAGAGTTACATCACCAGTAGCCACTAACCAATCTGTTATCACAGAGATGGTGTCTAAGTCTATTAAGATCGCACAGGAGCCTCTGGTTCAGATGCTCTCCCTTGAAGCCTCAGTCAAGAGCCCTGGACCATGCTTTCAAGATGATAACAAACCTTGTGAAGTCACTGGAGAAAAGTCCCAGCCTGAACTACAGGTGGAAGCCGAAACAGAAAGGGCACCTCCCAAGAAGCAGGTGCTTTCTGTCAGCCCTTGCTTACTCAATACACATATGCTTGCTAAATTAAATTTCCACCTGAAGAAAAAGGTCCTAGAGATACAACTGGGAATTCCTGAAGGTACAAGAAAGTCCAGGAAACCAAATGTGGCAGTTCCAGAGCACAAATCCTCACAGGAGTGTCTTCAGAGTAAGAAACACCAAGGAAACACAGTGCTCCAGGAACTACCTCTAGGCCCTCCTCCTGCTTCAAAATGGCTCTGCCCCAAAGAAAAGCAGGCCACTGAGCAGGCCACTGAGCTAGAGGCAATACAGCATAACCAAAAGCACCCTGGTCTGAAAGCCGTGCCCTATGGTTCTGCCCCCTGGGTCTCCGAGATCCCTCAACCTAGTAGGGACATGACTGAGGCTCAGGTGCTTTGTGTTCAAGTTCAGACCAATGTGAGCCACCCCAGCCTGGAGAAACCCCGTAGTCCTGAGCCCCAAAGCCCTGGGAAAAGCAAAGACTCAGCCCATGTGTCCATGCTGGCAAGAAAGAGAGAGGACCACCCAGAGAAGCTCGAGGCAGCAGGAGACCCTGGAGGAGGAGATGCAGGGTTTGGGCTCTCCTCGGCCACTGAGGACAGACCCCATGCCGAAGTCCAGAGGCCAGAGGGGATCCTCCTGAACAAGATACCCCAAGGCTCATGGCGGTGGAAATACGACTTTCATCCTGTGAATCCCTGCCAACACAGCTCCCAGAGTCACCCACAGCCAGAGTCAATTCCCAGAGGAAGAGAATCTGCGCATGACTTGCCTCACAGACTAAGCAAGCCAAATAGCATCCTCTCACCTGAAAGGACCCCCAACAACGCGCAGCCTGTGGCAGCCCACGCTCCCCAGGGCCAGCCTTTCCTGGACCAACTAATTCAGGATCAGCTTTTGCAGAGCCCAGCTTGCAAAGGTCAGGTTTTGAAAGGGCTCATGAGGCCGGCCCCTGCTCACAGGGAGACCAGACTTGCAGACACTGGCCTGAGAAGTAAGATAAAATCTTTTCTATACCGTGTGAGCCCTGAGATGAAAGGCAAAGGGCACCTGGAATCCACATCCTGTACAGCTGGCAAGGAAGCCAAACCCAGAATGGAAAATGTCCTAAGCAGCCTGGCTCATGCCCCAAGTCCCATGAAGAGAACCAAGACAAAGAAGCCAATGGAGCACCCCAAGGTCCAGCCTGATCCTACTGAGAGCCCAGTGGGCACAGCCTCCTTCTTAGCTGGTCCTCCTTCCCCAGGCAATAAGCTTCGCCTGCGCTCCCGACCACAGGGCTCTGCCTCAGTGCTGGGCCAACCCCTCCACTGCCCTCGACACTGCCCTCAAGTGGCTTATGCCACCCAACCAGGGAATACACCTTAGGTCTCAATTCTTACCTCAGAAATATTGCCTCAAGAAGAAACTTTGTGCAATAACAAAGCAATTCTAGGCTCCCCAACTTCTACATCCCTTGAAGTGTACTACTGTTGTCATTTCCATTAATAAACAGGTGGGGCAGAATGACACCCCAAATACACTCTAGATCTCTAAGTACAGCGTCATCTGTCTGATCCTTGCTCTGCTGAACTTTGTTAAGGGAAGGGATGAAAAAGTTTTCAAGTCTGTCCCATCTAAGGAAGGAATTTAGTCTCCATTGAAATCAATCATTTTAGTATCATAGAGTAAGCTTTTTGATGGGTTGTTTTTTATGTTTATCAATAGCACATACCTAATATGATAAATGTCAAAACTGAATGACAGAATCTCCCTTGTTTGATCCCTGTTATTGGTAATAACTAGAGAGCTCACATGAGAGGCTGCTATAATCCTGTTGATTCTGTGTCCACTGCCTGATCTACCAGAAGTGCCTTCTAGAATGCTGATCACAGTAGAAAATGGAGGACTCCCACCTACCCGAAGAAGGTGGGAGAGCAGATAGAGGTCTGTGTACTTGGTTTGAAAACTGACATAATCTGACAAAGCACCGCTAAAGATAAAAGTCAGTTTGCTTGGCACTCAAATGAACCATGAAGTCAACCCCAAGGCTCAAGTGTTTGAGGGATGTGAATGAGTCAACTGTGAACTTGGGTCCACTTGCACTTACACTGTTGAAGGGAAGTTAAGTCTTGAAGTTTATTGGGAAGAACTAAAGTACTAGAAGCTTTCCAGACATATTTGAGTTCCACTGTGTCTTATTTCAACACCTCTAAACCTGGAGTGGTTCTCTACTGCTCTTTCTTATACTATCCTTGCTTCTGAGATACTTTCTTGTGTTGGTGCTGGGGCTTGAATTCAGGGCTTTTTCCATTCAAGACTGGTGTTCTATCACTTGAGCCACAGTACCACTTCTCTGAGTTACTTTCATGGGAAGTAATGGTGCTGAACTCAGCCAAATCCCCTCACAGGATCTTACAATGGTAACTTCTCCTTAGAGACAGTACTCTCATCCAACAAGAACTGTACACATAAATGTGACAGCTCCTGTCTTTGGTTCCTGTTATCATCTAATCTCTTCATTATACTCTACTGCATTTCAAAAAGCATCAAGGTGATTTTGTTCAAAGAAGTACTTTAAGCATTTTGGAAAAGGTCTTGTTTCTACATTAGTCACAAAAAGCAAATAGGTTGTGTGTGTGTGTGGTGTGTGTGTGTGTGTGTGTGTGTGTGTGTGTGTGTGTGTGTGTGTGTGTGTGTGTAGCCTTATATAGGGGCCTCACCTCTGGATCTATCAGTCTTGTTTTTGTTTTTTTTTTTTCTCAAGTCTGGTGTTCTATCACTTGAGCCATATATTACTTCTGACTCTTTGTTATTTGAAGATGAGTCTCACAGACTTTTCTACCAGGCTAGCTTTGAAATGTGATCCTCAGCATTCAGCCTAGGATTACAGGCATGAGCCACCAGCACCTGGCTAAAATATCTAGAATTTAAGGCCATATATGACTCTATAACCAGATCAAACTCCTGGCTCCAGTGTGTGTCTTTCTGGGAATGATAATGTTTTGAGATTTCTGGTAGTATCTATCACTAATGAAAGTATGATGTGTAATTCTCTCAAATTTTTAAAATAAGAATGAGATGGAAAGCAACTGCTAAGAAATGTAAGCCTCTAAACTAGGTAGTATCTAAATTTTCCCTCACAGACTAAAGTGTCTCCTATAGACCTGTTTAGAAAATTTCTCAGCTTGTGGTACCAAAACATTCCTACAACTCTTTCCTGCTATCTGTGCAATGTAGTCTGTTCAATGTTGTAAGTGGGTGATCCACCACCAAAAGCAGCCTCAGTAACCCAGACACACAGTTGGACCTCTTTATAGGCGTCCAATTCCTTGAACTTTTGAGGAGAACACACCTTGTCTTCTCTAATTACCTGGGTTAGGGCAGGAATTGGTCTCCACAGAGCAAAAATTGGAATCCCTAACTCCTGAAGGAAACTATGGCAGAACTGTATAGCTCATCATAAAGTAAAAGATTTGGATTATTCTCTTCTCTTTGGAAGGAAACTTCTGACTGGCAAGACCAGGGTATAAATTTAAGATAGATAAATAAACATGAACAAAGGGCAAGAAACATTAAAAAATGCTGCACAAGGAAAATATTTGAGTATATTTTATAGTTTTTAGGTCAAGGTCACAATAATAAAATGTGCAAAATAATCATCAGGGTTAGAATCCTAGCTCTGACTGTTGAAAAGTGACCTAACATTTCCAACATCCAGTTTGTTTATAAGGGACAGGGGACAACTATATATACATAACCCCAACCTAAAAATTGTTAATACATTGGTGGTTTCCAACAGCTGAGAAAAAATACTCTTATCTTCCTCCAAATACAATACAAATTAATTCAAAATTTCTGACACCCTCCTATCAGTGTCAAGCAATGATACATTCACTTTTTTGCTCAGTGCATACATCAAAACAGTTATTAGGTTTTAATCTTAATAACTCTTCACTTGGCAACTTCTCTCTTGTTCTTACTGACTCTCCTTATTTTATCTTCAGCTTTCCTTAGTGATTAAAATAGTATCTTGGGGTCTAGGACGGTGACCTAGCCCATAGTAATATTAATATTAACTGAATATAAACTCTAGGCTACAAAAAAGACAATTGCATTGGTTTAATAAGTGCTATAGCCATCAGCTTTTCAGCTGATGTGAAGAATTCCAGAAAGTTCACAGTTAAAATGGCTGTCTAAAGCATCTTGTATTCATCAATTAACAAGACATAGGCCTTTCCATTTGGCATTCTTTATCTCATGCCTTAGATACTCTCCTAGGCCCAAGCTGTCTAAGGAATATACACACTTGAAGCCCCATAGATATATAGCTCCAACCACAAAAATGAACTCCTAACCTTTGCTCCAAACCCATTCAATCACATACCAAATTTGTCCCAAATCACAGTATTTCTCACATGACTTAATGGCAGCCTATATTTTTTTAAATTTCAACCTATTTTTAAGTAGTTCATAGACAGTGCCATCCATGAGTTTCCCCCCTAACACATCATACTCAGTAATTCTTCTTGTCTGTACCTTAGAAACTGTCTCTAGAGCACTTCTTATGCCCTCTACTATCATTACAGAGGTAGCATCATAACTAATTTTCTGTTTCATCATGAAACCATACTCCCAATGAAGAAGCATGATAATCTTCAGCAAGAATATTGGCTATGATGGGTGACACTGTTGTCAGAAACTTTGCATTCATATACCCTTTTGTAGAATGGGAACTTCTTTGTATAACCACTTAAGATAATATATTTAAAACTAAAAAAAGGGGGGGCAGGGGGGAGGCTGGGAAGGGAGGTGAAGGGTAAACAAAGGAGGAGGCTGCAATGCTTGGTAAGAAATGTATGCATTTTCCTGCCCATGTAATTGTAACCCCTCTGTACAGTATGTTCTCAAATAAAATAAAATTAAATTAAAAAAAAAACTAAAAAAAGAATATTGGCTACATTAGATAGATAACAGAATTAGAACTATGATACCAGATAAAATCACCATGACTATGAATTAAAGAAGAAGGACTAAACCTTGGGATACTTCGACTTTAAGAAATTAGGAAATAGTCTGCTAAGTTTAAAGCCTTAGGCTCAAATCCCAGTACAAAAAAAAGAAAAATTGTAAAATAAAGGAGGAACCAATAAGCAGTGTGGCGAGAAAACTAGCATAGTACAGTATACTAGAAGTCAAGAGAGGATTTCACAGAGAAAGTAATGGTATTCAATGTATTCAAGTAATGTATTCAATGGTCCAGATGCTAAACATTTTGTCCCCAGGCTGTGGTGCTATTGGGAAAAGTTGGTACACTAAAGAGGTGAAGCTTAGTAGAAGGAAGTTAGGTCACGGAAGCTTTCACTAGAGACAGATATTGACAGCAACACCTTCCTGATTCTTCTCTCTTTGTCTTCCTGGTCACTAAGAATGAGGTGAGCAGCCTTGCCTGATCACGTACTCCAGCCTGTGATATACTGACTCATCATTGACTCAAATGCAACAGACTCCACCAACCATGATCTGAAATCTCTGAAATGAAAGAAATCATTTCCTTTATGTGCTGATCATTATGAGTATTTTGACAGAGAAAAAAAACTGACATAAAAAACTAAGTATTTACCTCAACCGGTTAACCTTAGATAAACGTACACACATATTGCTAATGGTGACATTAGATGGGGAAAAGGGTAGCATTAAAGAGAAAATTTTGAGATAGGAGAAGAAAGGGTTTCCCCACATATAAATGTCAGCAAAGACAATGAAGAAATTGTGGCTAAGGAGGGAGAGGGAAATGAAAAACCAAAGCTAGGACTTGAGGTTGAAAGAGATTCTAAAACTTACCATGGAAGGTTTCTATTAGGACCTTGGTAGTCGGTAACAGTGTGAAACTCAAGAACGCATAAAAAGTGGTTGAAGTGGCTAATTACTGTGTGAAGCAGGTACTTTGGGAAATCTGGAGCCTCAGGAGAGATCCCCAGAGAAACCTCTGAACTCAGGAAGCCTGAGGGAATATGCACGTCAGCTGATAATGGTACAGGAGAAAGAGAGGGATAGGCTTGGTTTCTAAGAAAATCCAGGAACAGCCACTATCCCATCGAGCCAAGAAGTAGAGTCAGGACTTGCTTCACCTGACAGGAACCCACTATTTAGCACAATGTGTACACCACCAGCAGGATGCAGAAAGCTCAGATGGGAAGAAGCATGGGTGGGTCCCTCCTCTGAGGGTAGTTGTGTGCACAAAGGATGGGCATCCAACCCTACTTGATCCGCAGGGAAGAGAAACATGAGGTCTGGGCCTGCTGAGCCAATAATCTCCAGGTGTTTTCCTGAAGCATCTTCAAAGATCAAAGGAGGTCATGTGACAGGCACATCCTCTCTGCATGCTG